TCCTGTAGAGTTTAATGGCAAGTTTCACCAAAAATAAAAAAAATTTAAAAAAAAATAAGGCATTAACTACATTTTAAATATCTATGTTCTCAGGCAAGGAATCCAACTGATAGGAATCTACCCACTTCCAGAAATTAAAAAAGCAACATGAAATAATACATGTGCAGTAAAATTGTACAATCATTTGTAAAAATAACAAACCTGAACTTTCATTGGTAGAATAGGATTTGTCTTTATTATGTAATCATTTAAAACTTTTTTTATTTTATATTGGAGTACAGTTGATTAACAATGTGTCAGTTTCAGGTGTACAGCAAAGTGATTCAGTTATACATATACATATCCATTCTTTTTCATTTTCCCGTAAAGGTTATTACAGAATATTGAGTATAGTTCTTTGTGCTATACAGTAGGTCCTTGCTGTTTATTTTATATAATGTGTATATGTTAATCCCAAACTCCTGATTTATCCCCCCCATTTCCCCTTTGGTAACTATAAGTTTGTTTTTGAAATCTCAGTCTGTTTCTGTTTTGTAAATAAGTTCATTTGTATCATTTTTTTTTAGGTTCCACATATGTGATATCATATATTTATCTTTCTCTGACTTCACTTAGTATGATCTCATCCATGTGGCTGCAAATGGCATAATTTCATTCTTTTTTTTTTTTGCGGTACGCGGGCCTCTCACTGCTGTGACCTCTCCCGTTGCGGAGCACAGGCTCCAAACGCGCAGGCTCAGCGGCCATGGCCCACGGGCCCAGCCGCTCCGCGGCATGTGGGATCTTCCCGGACCGGGCACGAACCCGTGTCCCCTGCATCGGCAGGCAGACTCTCAACCACTGCGCCACCAGGGAAGCCCAATTTCATTCTTTTTTATGGCTGAGTATTATCCCATTGTATAAATATACCACATCTTTTTCCTCCATTCCTCTGTTGATGGACATTTAGGTTGTTTCCATGTCCTGGCTATTATAAGTAGCACTGCAATGAACACTGGGGTGCATGTAATGTTCCAAATTATGGTTTTCTCCAGATACATGCCCAGGAGTGGGCTTGATGGATCATATGGTAGTTCTATTTTTAGGTTTTTTTGTTTGTTTGTTAGTTTTTGCGGTATGTGGGGCTCTCACTGCTGTGGCCTCTCCCCTTGCAGAGCACAGGCTCCGGACGCACAGGCCCAGCGGCCATGGCTCACGGGCCCAGCCGCTCCATGGCATGTGGGATCCTCCCGGACTGGGGCATGAACCCATGTCCCCTGCATCGGCAGGTGTACTCTCAACCACTGCGCCACCAGGGAAGCCCCTATTTTTAGTTTTTTAAGGAACCTCCATACTGTTCTCCATCATGTTTGTACCAATTTACATTCCCACCAACAGCGTAGGAGGGTTCCCTTTTCTCCACACCCTCTCCAGCACTGTTTGTAGACTTTCTGATGATGGCCATTCTGAATGGTGTGAGATGGTACTTGTGGTTTTGATTTGCATTTCTCTAATAATTAGTGATGTTGGGCATTTTTTAATGTGCTTTTTCTATGTAATCATTTAAAGCTAACTAGTTACATCTGTAGGTTTTGATTGGAAGGAAGTCCACTGGTATGTTATCAAGTGAGAAAAGGAGGCTATATTTCAATGTGTCAGCACAATCCCATTCAAACTACACTACTCCCAGCCATAACTCCCATTACGAAAATAAAGCTCCAATGTGGGTATGAGAGGGTATGGAGAAAAGGATGAAAAGCTTTTGATGTTGGCACTTCAGAAAATAGGTACAGATAGTTCTTTTTTCTGTTTTGTTTAAACCTTTGCAGTATATCTCATTTTTGGCAAAACATGTTACATAAATTTGGAATAGAACTCTCAAATCTTGAAAATAGAAATATGTATACATGGGCAAAAAATCAGAATCATTTCTTTTTAAAATTTATTGAAGTATAGTTCAATTACAATGTTGTGTTAATTAATGCTGTAAAGTGACTCAGTTATACATATATTTTTTCATATTCTTTTCCATTATGGTTTATCACAGGATATTGAATATAGTTCCCTGTGCTATACGGTAGGACCTTGTTGTTATCCATTCTATATATACCAGTTTGCATCTGCTAATCCCAAACGTCCAATCCACCCCTCTCCCATCCCCCTCCCCCTTGGCAACCTCCAGTCTACAGAGAATCATTTCTTGACATTCATTATAACTATAACATTTATTATAACTCAAAAAATGTTAGAAATTGTAGAGAAAGTATAGATAAAATTTAGTAATCATTTCCCTCTTTAAAAAAAATGCTCAAATTTTTGTTATAAATTGTCCTCCAATGGGTTGATTGATATTTAGCTATGACCGAGTTAATCTGTCACATAATACATGTTTACATTAAACTTAGTACGTAATATTTTTCTGAAGTGTGGGTCAAAGGTGGAATACACCGGATGGTGATTGTTCCAAACGCTGTGACTGACTACACCCCATGAGGTGGGATTAAGAGGGCAATGCAGTGACCTCACAGCAGTTGAATATGCATATGCTGCTAACAGTTTACTACTTTCAGTGGATAAGTTGTTTTAGCGTCTAGTTTTCAACGTGCAAACACTACATTTATACATCACATTTTTTACAGTCTGACAGATCAGGTCATGAACCATTTTATTCTAGACAAAACCACCCCTCTGTTTTCTTTTAATAGGCTGCTAGATTTGACTTGCTATTTTAATTGGAATACTCATATTCCATTGAGTACAATGGATTGTTTTTATAGCTGATTTGAGCTGGATGCTGTCCTTTTCCAAATTTGGTATAGGGGTTGTGTTAGCCTCATAGCTGATACTCTTTATATCTTAAAGACTTAGATTTTATCTACTCTAGTACTAGAGGAATTATATGGTGTAGCTCTTTAATTAGTTTTTTCTTGGTTCTTACTATATTCAGGAAACTACTACTTTTCCTGGATTTCAGACATACTAAAAAAAACTGCATATAAACATATACTGTGAGACACTAAATGCAAACAGACATTTCCTACATCTTAACAAATCAAAGTTGTATATATATACACACACATATACGTTTAAGAAAATAATGCTTTTTCTATAATTTCACATACACTATAAAAAGCTGAATATAAACATTTTCTCATCTTACTAAAGTGGAATAAACGTGTATGTATAGGAAAATATTTTTTTCCAGGACTCGGATATATAAAGTTGAATATAAACTTATAACAGATAGGCACAGAATTTCTTAGTTCACACCCGTTCAGGTACAGGGCAGTTCTGAATTGTTTCATCATCTCAATAATGTCAAAGACACAAGTTATTCCTGTGCCAATCTCAGTTTCTCGCCTCCCATGGTTGTAAAATGGCCATAATTCCAGGTATCACACAGACACAGAGACATGCATCCTGTTTATAGGAAGACCATTTCCTCCTATTTTGTTAGTAAACAATATTTAACTGAAGCTCACCTGCAGACTTTTTGCTTAGATCTTCTATGGCCGGGACTGTTACACACATGCCCAGCTGCAAAGCAATTAGGAGGGCAAGCATCTGGTGTTTAGACTTAGGTGGGCATCAGGCAATCCTGGCAAAGGGAGAATGGTTAATACCAATGGACAGGCAACCAACAGTGTTAGCCAAACAATATTGGCTTATTTCTTCATCATCTCCTTCATTTCTGTAGTTACATATCCTTTCTCACTTATGATGCTTGAGTTTTTTCTTTCTAGGGTGCAATCTTTTTCACTTCAAAAAGTTTAAGGTGTTTTTTTGGGCTTTGCACTTATTTTGTTAGAGCACCTCAACATACTAGAGTTGGATGCTTATTCATTCACTCTCTCATTCCTCTGATCAACAGATGTTTACTGGGAACCTACCAGGAATAGGCAGTGCACTAAGTATAAGGAAGTGAGAATGAATCCTCGCTTTGAATTTTCCCTGTTTTCTACATATACTGAAAGAAGTTAAATTCCCTCAGTAAAGCTTTGGTTGCATCCTACAAATTTTAACATGAAGTTGTCTTTGTCATTCATTTGAATGACAATCTGCCTAGTGATAATTTGCCTTGATTTCCTTTTCTAATAAAAAAAATTTATTTATTTTTATTTTTGGCTGCGTTGGGTCTTTGTTGCTGTGTGCAGGCTAAGCGCTGAGTGGGGGCTACTCTTCGTTGCAGTGCCCAGGCTTCTCATTGGGTGGCTTCTCTTGTTGCAGAGCACGGGTTCTAGGCGCACTCGGGCTCAGTAGTTGTGGCTCGCGGGCTCTAGAGCGCAGGCTCAGTAGTTGTGGCTTAGTTGCTCAGTGGTTTGTGGGATCTTCCCAGAGCAGGGCACAAACCCGTGTCCCCTGCATTGGCAGACGGATTCTTAACCACTGAGCCATGAGGGAAGCCCTGCCTTGATTTCCTTTTTAATGTAAAAATTATTTATACAAGTATCTTAAATTTCCTCGTGGAGAAATGGATTTTGGCTGAGGCTTTATTTTCTAATTCACTAAGAGAGAGTCCAGAGATCGTGACATATATCTCTTGTTTTTTGGAAGGTCTTAAAAAAAATTATTTAAGTCTTCCCTCTGACCTCACAGCACCCCACTTTTATTCTACTGGGGTTCTTTACATTATGAACCCCCTAATGGGGAAAAGGGCAACCTATGAAAAGCTTCAGTTTTAAAATTTTTCTCCAGAAGGAAATATCTAACATTCCATGAAGAAAGATGATGTAAGATCTTCATATAGTCACTGCACACAAAAGGCCTTCCTCTCATATGATCTCTAATACACAATTAGGAAAACAAAATTAAGAATAAAGCCCCTCTAGGGCTTCCCTGGTGGCGCAGTGGTTGAGAGTCCACCTGCCGATGCAGGGGACACGGGTTCGTGCCCCGGTCCGGGAATATCCCACATGCCGCGGAGCGGCTACGCCCGTGAGCCATGGCCACTAAGCCTGCGTGTCCGGAGCCTGTTGCTCCGCAACGGGAGAGGCCACAACAGTGAGAGGCCCACGTACCGCAAAAAAAAAAAAGAATAAAGCCCCTCTTATTTAACACACTTTCAATATGAACCAGACACTATTCTAAGGGATACAATGTACACAATGCTACTAAGAAATATGGTTCTAATATTACTAATTGATAAATGAGAGAATTTGGTTAAGTCATTAGCCCTATAAGAAATGAGTAATAATGGTGAAGCCAAGTAAACACTAAATATTGGTTAAATCCTTTCCCACTCTGATTCGGTTCAGAGCTTGCAAACACTTAACAAGAGTTGAACGGAATGGAAGAATCTGCTGCATTTTTAACAATGTAGCCTTCCTCTAGTATGAATTATCAGATGAAAATTAGTTAGCTAAAGCAAATTGGTGCTCCATATAAATATTTATATTATGACTTCTGATTTCCCATAAGGGCTAATTGACCCTTGATGTTGAGAAAAGTTAGAATGATTAATGTCTAACACTGCTTTCCTAATAAGCCTTTCCACTTTCTTTATATTCATGGAGTTTTTCACTTTTTCACCAATTGATTGATGTCTAATAAATTCTGAAACACAAATACACCCCTCTCAATTCATAACATTTATAAGGTTTTTTATCAGTAACAAATATCAAATTCTGGACTCCCTCACATCCACAGTATGAACTCTGATATTAAGTTGTTATCCTTAAATGCTTTCCCATATTCCTTACAATTACAGGGGGTTTTATGTTTTACTAGTATGAATTTCCAGGTGTCAATTAAATTCCAAGCTTCCCACATGTCTTCATTCACTCCTCTGTCCTGTATGAATTCTTTGATGTTGACTAAGGTGTGAGCCACGAATAAAGGCTTTCCCACATTCCTTACATTCATAGGGCTTCTCACCAGTATGAATCTTCTGGTGTCGACTAAGTTCTGAGCCACGACCAAAGGCCTTCCCACATTCCTTACACTCATAGGGTTTTTCACCACTATGACTCCTCTTGTGATGAGTAAGTTCTGACCTTCGAATAAAAGCCTTCCCACATTCCTTACATTTATGGGGTCTCTCACCAGTGTGAACTTTTTGATGTCGGATAAGTTCTGTGCTACAAGTAAAGGCCATTTCACATTCCCGACATTTATAAGGTTTCTCACCCGTGTGAGCTCTCTGATGTCTGGTAAGTTCTGAGCCACGACGAAAAGACTTCCCACATTGCTTACATTTATATGGTTTCTCACCAGTATGAACACTCTGATGTCGGACAAGATGTGAATCAGAGATAAAAGCTTTCCCACATTCCTTACATTTATGAGGTTTCTCACCTGTATGAATTCTTTGATGTAGATTCAGTTGTGAGGCACAACTATAGACCTTCCCACATTCCTTACATTCATAGCGTCTTTCACCAGTATGAATTATCTGATGAAGACTAAGTTGTGTGTCATAACGAAAAGCTTTCCCACATTCCTTACACTTATAGGGTTTCTCACCAGTATGGATTCTCTGATGTCGAATAAGGTGTGAGGGACGGGTAAAGGCTTTCCCACACTCCTTACATTCATAGTATTTCTCATCAGTATGAATTCTCTGATGTAAATTAAGTTGTGAGGTAGATGGAAATGGCTTTCCACACTCTGTGCACTTATAGGGTTTCTCATCTATATGAATCCTTTGATGTTTACTAAGTTGCGAGTTAGAATGAAAGGCTTTCCCACATTCCTTACATTTATGAGGTTTCTCGGCAGTATTAATGCTCTGGGATTTAGTAATCTGAGCATCACGAATAAAGGCACATTTCTTATTTTCATCACTTTTTTTGCTTTCATGAATTCTCTGATGCTTAATCAAGTCTGACCTACTATTAAAGGCTTTCCCACATTCTCCACATTTAGAGTCTTTTTCCTTATTATGACTTCTTTCATGTTGATTATGGTGTGATTGGTACCTGAAAGTCTTACATTCCTTGGATTCACAGGATTTTGCCCCAGTATGAGTTGTCTGAGGTGTTCTACGATCTGTGCGCTGAATGGAAGTGGATCTTTCTTCAGAGGTTATTGTGGCTTGTCTGAAACGTCCTTCCTGTAGCCTCTCCAAGTGGCATCTGATTTCTCTGTTACTTCTGACCCTAGTGTACTCAAGGGTAGAGTTTGTAAGTCTTTTTGTTATCTCTGGTTGCAATGATTGAACTTCATAACTGTCCTCCTTTAGCATCTTGTTTTCTCTTCTAGACTCCCAATCTGTAAGATAACAAAGAAAATAGTGGGTATTTTCATGTTGCAGGAGAAAGGAAAGTTCTAAGGTAGAAATGACAAACTAAAAATAGTGAATAATGTAAACTCTTAACACTGCATTGCAACTTGAAAAAAGGGTTGGGGGGAATAAGAACAGAGAAAATGAGGGGAGCTTGTGAAGGAGGTGATTCTTTGCCTCTGGTAAGAATCAGAATCAACTGGGGAACTGTTAAAAATATAATGTCCAGGACCCAACCAACTAAATGAGAATCTAAAGGAGTAGGACATTATCTAACAGCAAATCCTCTCATCTCTAGCCTCAAATATATCCAGGTTTTGACTACTTCTACTAGTATCTCTAGTGGCGATCACGTTGTCCAAAGCCATCCCTCATCAAGATTAACAAAACACTATCCTGGAGTATCTCCCTACTTCCTCCTTATATTCCACACCCAACACAGTGGCTGTACTGTTCTTCTTAAAATAAGCTAGATCATGTCATTCTTCTGCTCAAAATTCTCCACTGTATTTCCCTCTCATGCAGAGTAAAAGTCAAAATCCTCCTGTGATCTACAGGGCCTCTGAACTTGTCCTGCACTACCTCATTCTAACCTCACTGGCTATCTCCTCCCCTCAGCTGACTCTGTTCCAGCTCCCTGACCAACTGGATGTTCAAACTTGCCAAGCACACCTCTCCTTCAGAACCTCTGCCTGCAAATATCTTCCCTTAGATATCAATATGGCTCATTCAATTACTTCATTCTGACCTCTATGCAAACGCCGACTTAAGAGACCACTATTTGTTTTGGCCATGCCCCACGGCATCTCAGTTCCCCAACCAGGGATTGAACCCGGGCCATGGCAATGAAAGCACCGAGTCCTAACCACTGGGCCACCTGGGGATTCCCCAAGAGACCACACTTTACAAAACAGGACGCTCATCCCTCTACTTACTGCATTTTTCTGCAGTACACATGTCATTTAATCTATTTCTCCAACATTATTATGAAAACTTTCAAACATAAAGAAAAATGAAAAGAATCAGACAGGGAACCCCCATATTCCCAATAGCTAGATTCTACAATAAACATTTGGCTCTACTTGCGTTTTCACACATCTATCTGCCCCTCCATCCATCAATCCATCTTGCAGACATTAGTATACTTCACCTCTAAATTCAACAGATTATATTTTAACTTGTTTATTTCTGTATTGTCTGCTCACCCTTCACTGTACCTATATAGAGTAAATACTCAATGACTGGTGAATGAATGGCCATTCGTATTTTTTTTTTAATCTCCCTCACTGATTGAGGCAACTCAAAGTGTGGCACTCAATGTTTAAATACAGTGCCTTTCCCACTGCACTTCAAAAAAAATACAAAATTCCCTACCAGACCTGCAAAATTCTGTAGTATCTGGTCCCTGCTTCCCTATTCACCTTCATTTTGAGGTGCTCTCACCTTGACTCACCATGAGCTCACTATACTGGCATCCATTTGACTCCCATATCATGCCAATTACTTTCTCATCTTAGACCCTTTCAGGAAATGTTTCATCTTCCATGAATGTTTTGTGTTCCAGGATCTCTCCATGGCCAGTTTCTCTCATTCTAAATATCTTAATTTTCTGTCATGTATCCTGTTCTTTGCCCTCGATCTTTTTCTCAGTTCTGGAATTACATATTTGTTCATCAGTTTATCTACTGGTATAATTTCTCCCTAAGTGGCCTAGAACTGACATAATACTTATTGTATGCTCCATGATATAACCAACCCCAGCATACAGTTCAGTTAATGTTAAATAAACTAATCAGTAGATTAAGCGTATTCAAATGGAAATAAAGAGAAATAAGCTAAAGATAATGAGATTAGGAGAGTGACTTGAGATTCACTTATCACTCCATGCTTCTAATTATTTAACAGGTGATAGAGGTGTCTTCCTGCCTCTGATTCCTGCCCAGCTTCAAAATGCTCTCCCTACATCACTTCTGATGCATATGGCAGTTAACACAGAAGCAAGCCTGTGCCATTAGAGCAAATCTGTTCATGTGCCTACACCAGTGTCCTAGAATATTGACAGTTTTACACAACAATAAAAATCTATGTAATCCTACTCAATAACAGCCTAATCAAAAAATAGGCAGAAGACCTAAATAGATCATACAGATGGCCAACAAGTACATGAAAAGATGTTCAACACTGTTAATTATTAGAGAAATGCAAATCAAAACTACAATGAGGTACCATCCCATCCTGGTCAGAATGGCCATCATCAAAAAGACCATCATCTCCTGGGCATATATCTGGAGAAAACAATACTTTGAAAAGATACATGCACCGCAATGTTCACTGCAGCACTATTTACAATAGCCAAGACATGGAAGCAACCTAAATGTCCATTGACAGAAGAATGGGTAAAGAAGATGTGGTACATATACAATGGACTACTACTCAGCCATAAAAAAAGAATGAAATAATGTCCATCCATGTTGTTGCAGCAACATGGATGGGCCTAGACATTATCATACTCAATGAAGTAAGTCAGAAAGAGAAAGACATGTATCATATGTATCACTTATATGTGGAATCTAAAATATGACACAAATGAACTTATATATGAAAAAGACTCACAGACATAGAGAACAGACTTGTGGCTGCCAAAGTGGGTGGGTGTGGGGAGGGATGGATTGGGAGTTTGGGATTAGCAGATGCAAACTTATACAGAGAATGGATAAACAACAAGGCCCTGTTGTACAGCACAGGGAACTATATTCAATATCCTGTGATAAACCATAATGGAAAGAATATGAAAAAGAATATGTATATATATGTATAACTGAATCACTTTGCTGTACAGTAGAAATTAACACAACATTGTAAATCAACTATACTTCAATTAAAAAAGTGAGCTTCAATAACTACTATTATCAGACAAAACAGACTTTAAGACAAAAATTATAACTAGAGACAAAGGAAATTTTATAACTGACCATTTTATAATGACAATTTTATAATTTTATAATTACTATATAATGATAAGAAGGTCAATCCATCAGGAAATTATGTAACAGTTATAAGTATATATGCACCTAATAATAGAGCCCGAAAATAAATGGAAGCAAAAACCTACAGAATTAAAGGGAAAAAGTGGCAATTCAACAAATTGAAGATTTTAATGCTCTATTTTCAATAATAGATAGGTCGACCTGCCAGATCAACAAGGAAACAGAAAACAACATACTCTTAAAAAACCAATGAAACAAGAAATTACAAAAGAAATTAGAAAATACTTTCCAGTATGAATGAAATGAAAACTCAACATACCAAAACTCATGGGATATGGTTAAAACAGGTCTTAAAGGGAAATGTACAGCTTAAATTGCCTATATTAAAACCACAAAAGATCTCAAATCCATAATCTAACTTATACACCTATGGAACTAGAAAAAGAAGACCAAACTAAACCCAAAGATACCAGAAGGAAGAAAATAAAGAGAGAAGATAAATAAAATAGAAAAAAAATAGAGAAAATCAACATAACTATAAGTTGGTTCTTTGAAAACAACAAACTGACAAACTTCAGCTAGAATGACCAAGGAAAAAAGAAGATTCATAATAATACCAGGAATGAAAGTGAGGATATTACTACCAACATTACAGAAATTAAAAGAATTTCTAGGGAATACTATGAACAACTATATGCAACAAATTAGATCACTTAGATGAAATGGACAAATTCCTAGAAAGACAACTACCAAAACTAACTCAAGAGGAAAGAGAACATGTGAATAGGCCTACAAAGAGATTGAACAGTAATTTAAAAATCTTCCCAGCCCATGTGCCTAGAGCCCATGCTCCGCAACGGGAGAGGCCACTGCAGGGAGAAGCCAGCACACCCCAGAGAGGGGTGGCCCCTGCTGGCCACAACTAGAGGGGGCCTGTGCACAGCAACGAAGACCCAACACAGCCAAAAAAATAAATAAATAAAATAAATAATAATAATAAAAAACCTTCCCACAAAGAAAAACCCAGGACCAGATGGCTTCACTGCTGAATTCTACTAAACACTTAAAGAAAACTTAATACAAATCATTCACAAACACTTCAAATACAAATTCCTCACAAACACTTCAAAAAAACAGAAGAGGAGGGAATACTTTCCAATGAATTCTCAGGCCACTACTACCCTGATATCAAAACCAGAAAAAGGCACCACAAGAAAACTATAGATCAATATCCCTTACTTAATATAGGCACAAAAATCCTCAACAAATAAAACCAAACTAAATCCATCAACAAATAAAAAGGTAATACATCATGACCAAGTGTGATTTACCTGGGCAATGCAAAGTTGGCTTAATACCCAAAAATGTATCAATGCAATATACCATATTAATAGAACAAAGGATACAGACCACATATCTCAATATATGTAGAAAAAGCAGTTAACAAAAGTATTCTAAAACCCTTTCATGATAAACACATTTGACAAACTAGGAAAAGTGAAGCATTATTCATAGTAGCCTAAAAGTGGAAAACCATCCAAATGCCCATCATTTGATGAATGGATAAACAAAATGTGCTATAGTCACAACATGGAATGCTATTTGGCAATATAAAGAAATGAAGTAGTAGTATATGCTACAGCATGTATGAACCTTGAAAACAAATGTTCTGCTAATTGTAAGAAGCCAGTCACAAAGACTATGTACTGTGCGATTTCATTAATATGAAATGTCTAGAATGGCCAGCTCTATAGCAGAAAGCAGATTAGTCGTTGCATAGGGCTGGGTGTGGGGAGTGACCACTAATGGGTATGGGATTTCATTTTGGGGTAAAGGAAAATGTTTTAAAATTAGATTGTTGTCATGGTTGCAAAACTCTGAATATACTAAAAGCCACTGAACTGTATCTTTAAATGAATGAATTTTATGATATGCCAATTATATCTCAACAGAGCTATTTTTAAGTCAGGACAAAACTGGAACCAAAGTGCAGGGTAAATTGTTGTCTCATGGGAAAGAGGAGGCACTTCCTTCTTGAAATCAGAAGGAATAAGAGCAAGGGTAGCATGAAAGTGGTAAGTGGAATGAAAATTTGGGGGCTCATGCTGAAACATTCTTACTTCAGATCTCAGGCTTTTCAGGGAGCTTTCCTACCAACATCTCATAAGTGCTGCCTGCCTTCTCACAGGCCAGGTGGGTGACCACCTGCCATGGCCTTTCCCATATGAGTAACCATTACTCACCTGGGCACCATTCTTTTGTCTCCTTGCTGTTAACCATCCAAGGTTCCTTCCCCTGCTCCAATAAGGAGATCACATCTGGCTTAGAATCAGAAAATCCTGTTCAAGAAAGAAAAAAAGGACCAAGTTATGTTGTGAGTGTCTCAGAATTAAAATCAGTCCATTATTGTCAGGAAAGAGGAGTAAGTAAATTAAGGGTCAGAGGAAAGGATGAAGAAGATAAAGTCTGATGGAGCAGCCAATTTCTAACTTCACAAGGCACAAAAAGCGTTCTTTGGTAAGCAAGAATCATTAATTCAGTCAAGCACTTGGGAGGCACTCACAAGAAATTTATAACAATAAACATAAAAATTCCAGAAGACCAATTCTGAATTCTGGAGGGCAGGTAAACTTACCCAGTGAGATCAGGGTATTATAATTCTCCAACATCACATCTCGGTACAAATCTTTTTGAGCAGAGTGCAAGCACTCCCACTCCTTTTGAGTGAAGTAAATGGCCACATCTTTGAACTTCAAGTCCTGAAACCACAGATAAAAATACACAGAAATTAACGTGCAAAATCTTTACAATAAAATAAAAGAAATCTTGAAAAAGCAATTCAATAGGGGAACACTGTTGGGAAAACAGAATGTGCTGGACCTTTCAACATGAGTAAGTCAACAGCTCAATATCAAAAACAAACAACCCAATCCAAAAATGGGCAGAAGACCTAAACAGACATTTCTCCAAAGAAGACATACAGCTGGCCAAAAGCTACATGAAAAGATGCTCAACATCGCTAATTATTAGAAAAATGCAAATCAAAACTACAATGAGGGATCACCACACACCGGTCACAATGGCCATCATCAAAAAGTCTACAAAGAGAGCTTCCCTGGTAGAGCAGTGGTTGAGAGTCTGCCTGCCGATGCAGGGGACACAGGTTCGTGGCCCGGTCTGGGAAGATCCCACATGCCATGGAGCGGCTAGGCCCGTGAGCCATGGCCGCTGAGCCTGCATGTCCAGAGCCTGTGTTCCGCAATGGGAGAGGCCACAACAGTGAGAGGCCCACGTACAGGAAAAAAAAAAAAAAAAAAAGTCTACAAAGAATAAATCCTGGATAGGGTGTGGAGAAAAGGGAACCCTCCTACACTGTTGGTGGGAATGTAAATTGATACAGCCACTATGGAAAACAGCATGGCGGTTCCTTAAAAAACTAAAAACAGAGCTACCATATGATCCTGCAAGCCCCTCCTGGGCATATATCCAGAGACAACCATAATTCGAAAAGATACATGCACCCCAGTGTTCACTGCAGCACTACTGACAATAGCCAAGACATGGAAGCAACCTAAACGTCCATCTACAGATAAATGGATAAAAATGATGTGGTACATTTATACAATGGAATATTACTCAGCCATAAAAAAGGAATGAAATAATGCCATTTGTAGCAACATGGATGGACCTAGAGATTATCATACTAAGTGAAGTAAGCCAGACAGAGAAAGACAAATATCATATGATACTGCTTATATGTGGAATCTAAAAAATAAGGATACAGGCTTCCCTGGTGGCGCAGTGGTTAAGAATCCACCTGCCAATGCAGGGGACATGGGTTCGAACCCTGGGCTGGGAAGATCCCACATGCCGTGGAGCAACTAAGCCCGTGCACTACAACTACTGAGCCTGCACTCTAGAGCCAGCGAGCCACAACTACTGAGCCCACATGCTGCAACTACTGAAGCCTGCACGCCTAGAACCCATGCTCTGCAACAAGAGAAGCCACCACAATGAGAAGCCCACACACTGCAACAAAGAGTAGCCCCCACTCGCCGCAAGTAGAAAAAGCCCACAAGCAGCAAGAAAGACCCAACACAGCCAAAAATAAAATAAATAAATAGATTTTTAAAAAGCTACAAATGAACTTATATACAAAACAGAAATAGACCCACAGATATAGAATACAAACTTATGGTTACCAAAGGGGAAATGTGGGTGGGGGAGAGATAAATTAGGAGTTTGGGATTAACATATATACACTACGCTTTATAAAATAGATAATCAATAAGTACCTACTGTATAGAACAGAGAACTACACTCAATATTTTATAATAACCTATAAGGGAAAAGAATCTGAAAAAAATATATGTATAATTGAATCACTTTGCTGTACACCTGAAACTAACATAACATTGTATCAATAAACTGATTATACTTCTATTAGGGAAAAAAAAGAAAGAAAACATGGATAGGTCAGTGTGGAAACAAGGATGATCACAGCACACGTTCTTGGTGCACACATCATTCTTTTTTTTTTTTTTTTAATTGAAATACAGTTGATGTACATATTATATGTTTCACGTATATAACAGTGATTCACAATTTTTAAAAGTTATATTCCATTTATAGTTATTATAAAATATTAGTTACATTCCTTGTGTTGTACAAATCATTCTTAAACATGCTTGCTACTACAGATATAACCTCTCGGCATTATCCTCTTCCATTGTTTATTCCCAGGCCTGGGTGGATAGAGTCCAGATAATTGGTGTCTTCCAATTAAATGAAGCTGTACGTACATGTACATAGCACATGCTATGTTCAGCACATAACACTGTGACCATCTCCTTCCATTCTCTCATTTTAAAAATTTGTTTAGAAGTCTGAAGAATTCAGGAATTCCCTGGCGGTCCAGTGGTTAGGACTCAGCACTCTCACTGCCAAGGGCCTGGGTTCAATCTCTAATAGGGGAACTAAGATCCCACAAGCCACGCAAACAGCAAAAAAAAAAAAAAAGTCTGAAGAATTCACAGATATCTTTAAAAATCTCTCTGAACATAGGATTTGGATATAACTTATGTGATTTAATTTCTTAAAAACTCAGGCTCATATGCAATTCTAGCTGTTTTCCATGTCACTATAAATAGACATAATTTTCATTGGCTGTACGATGCCCCATCTTATGTATTCAATGTTCTTATTTTGCAGCACTAGCTTAAACAAGCTCCCTTGCAGTTACAAGAGTCGTTACTTCTCAATAATTTATGCATCTGGTTAAACTGTTCCTGTTACAATAAGTTGTCCCTAACTATACTCTCCTTGGTCCAGAACTACCAGGACTGATGAAGTAAGATCCAGACTCACACTGATGTGACCCAAGATGAGTATACACCACACAAGTTCAAAATGGACCCACGGACTCCTTGGAATATCACATAACTTCATATACTGAATCTATCATATTCCCAGTCAAAAAAAATCTCAAAGCTAAAGACACGGGCAAATACTGAGAATGCAACAAATCAGTGTCAATTACCTTCTTGTTTACCTGGAAAACCCAAGTTTGCAACATGGAATCTCAATGACTCACCTCCACTTCATCAAAGCACAGCTCGAACAAGGGAGGTACAAAATTTTCAGCAAGGGTTGATTTTCCCATTCCATCAGTACTCCTGGTGGAAGGATAAGCACTTATCGAATGCTAAGGGGTTTTCTGAATAAATAGTTAAACATTTGTTGGAGAACAGAGAGACACTTATGGGACAGCAGCTTTTGGTAGCATCACTCATTGGAATAGGAAGAAGTGGGGAACAAGTCCCTTGGAAAGGCTCAGGGAGGCAGGCAGTTTCAGGAAAAAGAAATCCACTGTTGAAATCTTCCAGAATAAAAAATGCTTTCAATGAAGGAGAGAAGAAACATCAGTTCATATAAACAATGGCTTTTAGGATTGCAAAACCAGATCATTTATATCCTGGGCTCATCTAAGAGAAAAGCAAGCTTAAAAAGGCAAAGGAAGAAGAAGCTAGAGCAGCCCTGAGTCACCAGACTGACCTCAGAGTTCCCAAAGGACTGAAAATGAATTTTCCTCTCTCCTCCTCTGTTCCTATCTTCCTGCTTTTGGCAACCCAGTGCGTACACACACACGCACAGAGTCTCTTTCTCTTTCTTGACTTGAAGGAGAATAACAAACCTTTGCTTTCCCTGAATCCCAGGGAATCCAACTGTCCATAATGTATTGGTTCTGCACTGCAAAGACCTGGGACCTCTAGGACCAGGCCCTCAGAGTAAGGAAAAAGTAGAAGCAGCACTCCCATTCTCAGGGGCTACAAGGAAAACTGCCTGACTTGAACTCTGGCTGCTGGTGGAAGGAAAATATTCTCCCCTGAGGAACTGTAACCACAAATTAGCCCTCACACAGGTCTCAGCTCACATTCCTATTACTAAAGTGAATCTAAAAACCCTACCATCTATGAATCTACTTTAATGTGGTTCTGGTTTGGCGGTGCTCCTGGAAGAAGCAAGCCCAGATGTGTCCTAGAGGAACAACCTTCATCCAGACCTCAAGAATCCATGCGTAGAATTCCAAGGAAAATGACCAAAGAGTCAAAAATAATAAAACAACACAACACTGTGAATGAACTAAATGCCACTGAACTGTACACTTTAAAATGATTAATTGTATGTTATGTGAATTTCACCTAAATAAAAAATTAAATGAAACATGCAAAGAGGCATAATTCCATGATCCAAGAGGCAGGAAAATCAACTGTTTCAACTTTCATTATATTTGAAAATTTCCATAATAAAATGTTGGAGGGAAAATATCACACCTGCAAAAATTTACATATTATGCAGATAACGCAGGTATATGATTTTAAAAAAGGGGGTAAGGTATTAAGAAACAAAACTCCACGAAAATAACAGGTAGATTTAAAAGAAAAAAATTTAAAACTTCTAGAATAAAAAACACAATACCTAAAATTAAATCATACAATGGCTGGAATAAATATCTCTGAAGAGAAAAATTACTGGGCTGAAATATTTAAAAAGAAATTACGCAGAATGCTATCAAAGACAATGGGGGAAAGTATACGAGGTTAAGAAGATAAAGTAAGAAGGTTTAACAGATATCTAACTAGAGTTCTAGAAGAAAAAAGGAGAAAGGACTGAAAAAGGTAGTAATTGAAGACATAATGGCTAAGAAATTTTCACAACTGGCAAAAGAAAGCATTATTCAGAAGCCAAATGAGTCTCAAACAATAAATAAAAAGAAATCCAGGGCAATTATATCAAAACTGCAGAGCATTAAACAGAGACTATGTTAAAAGTAATTTGATATTAAAGACAGATTGTCTACAAAAGAATAACAGTCTGATTGACAGATGTCTATTCAACAGCAACAATGTAAATCAGAGATGACAGAATAAAAATTCTCTCTCACAAGGGAGGACAAATAAAAACATTTTCAAAAAGCCAAAAGAACAGAAATTCATTAATGTATGTACTTCCAACTAAAGGAAAGTGTTCCCAGATAGAGGGTTTGAGATGTAAGAATGGTGAATGGTGCCGTTCTTTAAAATGGCAAAAATGTGGATAAACTAAGCTAACATTCAATATATAAAATAATAAAAATGTTTTATGGACTAAAAAAAAAACAATGAAAGAAAAATACCTGACTACAATATAAGTTGCTTGATCAGCTGGAATATCTAGTTCCTTATGCTATTCAGCAAGAGCATAAAGATGTTCTTTAGTT